TCAAACGCCTGTTCAACGTCGAGAAAGACTCCCGTACAGTACATTCCGCGCTCCAATGCAGAGGAGACTACGTCTACCACACGATGACATTGCTGTATAGTGGAATGGGAAGTTCGGAAACCAAATTGGTGATCTGGGATTATGTGTTTAGAATTTAGGATAGGGTACAGGCGTTTTAAGATGAGTTTTTCTAGGATTTTGCCCATGATGGGTAAAAGAGAGATAGGACGGTAAGAGGATGGGTATTCTGGTGGTTTTTTGGGTTTGTGGATCATTTTAACAATAGATCGTTTCCAAAGATCAGGAAAATATGTAGAACGGAGTACAGCATTATATATATAAGTAAGGAATAGGATGGCTTTTCGAGGAAGAAGTTTTAGGATCTGGGATGTAATTAGGTCCTGTCCAGGAGCTTTACGGGAAGGTAATTTTTGAATGATGTTGGATATTTCTATGGGATGAAATGCTTTGGGTGGCAGAGACATTTGGAGAGGAATATCCAGTTCTGCTTCAATACAATTGATGTGAGTTGAATTAAGGATATCGGGATGTGGATTAAAAGTTTGGAAAAGATGTTTTAAACATAATTTAAAAATAAACTTTTTATTTATTAAAAACTGTCACGGTCACTGTACATTTATTGTTCAAAATACGGAATACTTCAATGCTGGCAGACTAGACTACTGTTGGAAAGTTGTGAAGGATTTGCCAGAGCATCAGTACAATGGTCAAGCAAAGAAGAACCATCTAAATAAACTGTACAACAGCGATGTTCTTGCAGAGATAAGTTATAATTTAATGTTTTATGGGTTGTAAAAGTATTTCACAAATAATAAAGCACTTTTAAAGCCTAAAAAATGATGGTGTAACTTTCAATTACTTAATTTTTTGTATTCGATACTGGGTATACGTATCTGCAGATCGGTAGGTAATATGAGAATTCTGTAAGAAAATTCGAGTTTTTCACACCAAAATTATTTAAGAGAAACAGTTTTCATCGAAGATACACGCAATACAATTTTGTTTTGTAGAGCAGTGTTATCAAAAGCTTGTTTGTGATGAAGAGAGAACTCAACGAATTCCAGTAGCAAAAATATTTATGTAACTTACCTACCTATTCGTTATACTAATTGTTGGGGCGGTGGAGGGGGGGGGGGGTATTTCAAAATTAAAACACAAACCCTTCCCCTGTGAGGTTCCTCAAAGGTGAAAAAAATTCGAGTAAAATTCAATGTTGGGAAAGAAGCGAAAAAAATTAGTGAATATGGGACCTGTAAAAGAAAAGAAAAATGAATGCAAAAGAAAATATTAAAAAATAGAAATATCCAATATACTGATAATGGAAAATAAAAAAAGTCCCCCTTTTGAAATGTTCACAATATTTATTACTGAGATAAAAAAAATATATATACAATAGTTAAAAAACAAATAAACAATGAAAAAAGATTATCAAAACGTACTAAAATAAAATGAAACATAAAATATAATGTTCAGTGAGAATAAAACCAAATTAACCTTTAATAACAAAATATCAACCTCTAAAATTATAGAGAAAAAATAACTGTCCATAAGAAAAAAAACTAATTTAGCCTAGGAAAAGATTAAAGTAATCTATTGTCTTTAGTGACGGTGGAGAATAAAAAAACAAAAAAAAAACGAGGTTCTGCTTGCAACCAGGTTACCTTCTACGAAGTTTAGCTGTCAAAGCAGTCGATGGTGGGGGGATCGATATGCATATCGATCCTGATCGATGACTCGCGATGCTACTTACAGCTGGGGTCTTCAAAATGGCGCAGGTGAAGTGACGATGAGACGAGACAAGACGAGCCTGGAGCCGGTGCAAATGGTGGGGGTTAGATGTCCAACACAAACGAAAAATAGCTCCAGACTGACAACCCGGCAGTATTATGGCATTATTTTGATGTCTCAATCCCTAAGACTGGGTAATACTGCCGGGCTGGAGCGTGTACATAAACAAGATAATACATCGCAAATGAAGCTAAATGAATAAACAATGTACAATTCTGGGACAATTGTCCCTCAGTTTAAAAAAAATAAATAAACATTTAATTATTAACATTTAAAAGGGATGAATGGTGAGAAAAAAATAATAAAGATATGAGCGTATGCGGCGTTAACGCTAATACTTCTACATAGTAAATTATGCTTATTCATCTATCATCACTACGCTATTTGTCAGACTAAATCAGTTTTATAGGCCTGGGCCTTATGGCATAATAGACATTTATGAAGAAGAAATGGCAGTATGATATGACTGTTCTGCCTTGTGGTGGGATATTAGATCCCAACCCCATCTTCATTTTCTGGAGGGCATCTGCCATATATCTCCTCTAATGGAGCCAATAATAATAACTGAAGGGTGATTCGTATTGTCGGGAAGGAAAATAATATCAATAAATATGGTTGTGATGTTGCGTATATTGTGAATTGCGATAACACTCCAATATTGTGTTCTGCTTGGAGAATAAATTATTATTTTAAATATATTTATCGTTCCCTTGCCTTCCGGATACGAGATCTAGGTAATATTGTTTGTTTTCTTGGAGTGAAATCACTTGTTCGTCTTCCTAGGCTTTTGTTACTTTTCAGTGGTTATCCATCAACCGTCCATTTCAAATTTATAGAGCAAATAAGGTTTTTCATCCATTGAATGTTGTGTAGTGATGTCCTTAACTTATACAACATACCTCTCCTGTCACCAACGAATAGAAATCATTCTCTGAGCAGACATAAAGTAGGTTTCCCTCAACAGTCTAGTCTTCAGGAATTTAAAGAGAGTGCAGTTCACGATGGTATACTCAGCTGTCTCCTAACCGAGGTAAAGCCTTTACAAGCACATGCATGTTATATATAACCAAGAAAATCCACGTACTCTGTGAAGAATCGCGAAACTCAATAATCTGGAAGAAAACATATTGCTTTAAAAAATGATCGGACGGTATTCTTGAAGATACGAAACGCCATTTTGTCTGTGTAATTAACGATTGCTTCACTGTAAACTAGATAAAATTTACTTCTAATGAAGATTGAATATGCCATTGTAAAAATCATTTAAAGTTAACTGAGTGAGAAAACAATGGAAAACTCTATCTTCATTAAAAAGGAAATTTAATATACAGTGAAGCTATCTTTAATTGCTTAAATTAAATATTTCTTTAGTTATCGCTTCCTATCTAACAAAAAACATGACTTGCTTAAATAAACACAAAATTTTCTGCTGAAAATTGGCCCATTGTTTATATGAACTTTTTTGTAGCTGTTGACGTCACCTATTCTATAAAAAATTCCCTATACTTACGGAACACTCTGTATATATATATATATATATATATATATATATAAATTATTTTATTTACTTTATAATTATTTTATACTAGAACATTATAGTGGTACAACTGTGTGTAACATGATATCGTGAATGTAATATTTCATATGTACTCACATAACTTTAAAACAGAAAAAATATTAGTCCGTGATACAGACCCCTTTTTATGGAATTATTAACATCCGCCTGAAACTTCGTAAATAGTTCCGTCTCATCATAACCTACAACTATTTTATTTACGAAAACTCTTGTAATTGGGGCGTTTTAAATCTGGAGGGGAGCAAACTTTGTCTATTTAATTAGGTACTAAAAACTCGTAAATACCCATTTGCTTTCTACTTGAATCTTAAGATAATTTTATCACAAAATGGAGAAAAAAGGTTTCCTGCAAAAATATTGGGTCGTTTGTCCTATATAACCTCGTGTTGACAGATCACGCCAAACGTTTAACTATTGAACTATTGTCAAACATTATATTCCGTGGTACAGAATCCTCTTTTTGTCAAATTATTAACATCCGTCTAAAACTTCGAGCTATCAAAAAGGTGGCCTACATAAATATTTTATCGTTTGTCCTGTATCCCCCAACATGTCGAAAAAACTAGGTTATAAAGGGCAAATGACCCAATATTTGTGCAGGCCGTTTATTTTTTTTTCTCGATTTTGTGACCAAATTATCGTAAGATTCAAATGGAAACGAAATGGTTATTCGTGAGTTTTATCGAAATAATTGTCCGTGGTACAGACCCATTTTTATCAAATTATCACCATCCGCCTGGAACTTCGTAAAAATCATCATCTTATCGTAATCTACGATTATTTTACTTACGAAAATTTTCAGAATTGGGGAGTTTTCAATTTGGAGATTGGCAAGCGATGTCTATTTAATTAGATACTAAAAATTCATAAATATCCATTTGCTTTCCACTTGAATCGTGAGATAATTTAAGAATGAAATCGAGAAAAAGGTGGAAACATATTAAGCCGTTTGGCCTCCAAACGGCTCAATATTTTTGAAGGCCACCTTTTTTCTCGATTTTGTGATCAAATTATCTTACGATCTAAGTAGAAAGCAAATAAGTATTTGCGACTTTTTAGTATCTAATTAAATAGACAAAGTTTGTCTCCATCCAGATTGAAAACGCCCCAATTCCAAGAGTTTTCGTAAATAAAATAGTTTCTAGGTTACGATGGGATGAAACTAATTACGAAGTTTCAAGCGGACGTTAATAATTTAATAAAAAGGGGTCTGTACCACGGACTATATCACCTATAGAATTAAATTCAAGATAAAATAAAACTTAATATTTAAGCATTTGCTTTTAATACTTCCTTTTTGTTGACAAAATGGCTTTAGTTCAAATTCAATATCCTAAATAACATTGAAAGACAAAATTTTAGCAGCATACTGTAATTTCTGAGTAAGTTACAGTCGATGTCCAAGGAACTTGTATGCTTGCCTCATCGCGCGGCGTCGCAAGTCTCAACGTTGCTATGCTGATGCCACCTAAACGCCTAAAACCTCTGGCCATTATGGCTGCACTTATAGCATTTATAATATATTTAATGTATATAATGATATATATATATATATATATATATATATATATATATATTATAATAATAATATTTAATTATGATGTTGCAGAGTTCGATGAATCCCGAGTGGGGCCCTCCCGAGAAGGATGGACTCTATGACCCCGCCCAGGAGCGAGAGGCTTGCGGCGTTGGCTTCATCGTCGCCATCGACGGCCGCCGGTCTCACAAGGTTAGCATGATATTCATTATTGTTATTATTATTATTATTATTATTAATTATGTATAATTAACTTTATTACTGTTAATTATCAGAGCAGTATTTTCTATATTGTGATATTTAAATAATTACTGTGAGAACGGCAAATGCAGTGAGAGCAGTGGCTGCTCGAATCAGAAGAAATCCCATTCGAAAACAACAAATCATGTCTCAGGAAATGGAAATCAATGTCTCGCATAATAAAAGTGTTTTTAGGATGGGAGCATTTCGAAGAATGACAGGACAATGGCTAACCACTTCCCTAAAAAAAATAATAAAGTGGATAGATAAAGTGCTCCTTAGCCGTTACACCAATGGTATTCATCGAAAGATTTTGTTTAGCGATGAGAAAATGTTTACAATTGAAGAAAAATTTAATCGCCAAAATGATCGTGTGTACGCACACAGCTCTAAAGAAGCCCAAGAAGTCATTGGAAGAGTGGAAAGAGTTCATCACCCTTCCTCAGTGATGATTTGGTGGAGAGTTTGCTTTGATGGCACCACAAAGCTCCATTTTTGGAGAAAAGGAGTTAAAACAGCCGCTAAAAACTATCAGGACGATATTTTGGAACTTGTTGTCAAGCCTCTAAATGATACTCCGTTTGCTGGAAATCATTGGGTTTTCCAGCAGCTCACAAGGCCAGGTCAACTCAGCAGTGGTTGCAAAACAATATGTAGGATTACGACTCTTTACACATTATCGGCTTTGGTCTGAACTGCAGAGGATGGCATGCCACAGAGCACACACTGTGGTTTTTTTGGTTTCGGTGTAAACTGAATTTTTAAAACTTTTTTTTTTAATTTGCTACATACTGGAGCTGCCTCCTTCTTGCACTAAACCCTTCAATTATGTTGTTCCTATTAAGGAAACATGTGATCGCTGAAATCCTATATAATCCAATGGCGAATAAAAGCTCGTGAAACCCACCGAAGCGCCCTTCTGTAGAGGACTAATTGCATAATCATAACGCTACATAAATACCCTTTCATGTCGCAACACTAAAGGGTTACAGAACTGGGTTTCTAAGGAGAGGCAAGAACAAACACACCCTAAATATTTGAATAACAATTCCACAATTGAGTGGCTTCGTATCAAAGACGGATATCTGTCATTTTCAGAAAGTCAAGAGAAGATGTCAATTTTGCTTTACCATTTTTAATAATCAATCTTAGTAATCGGGAAAAAAAAAACAAGTAAGATTTGTGTTTTAGACCTCACGATAGAAGTGAAAACATCAACAAGGCAGGATTAATAATATGAAATATAAATCGTAAATAATTGCTCATTATAAAGAGGATGAAATGCTAAACAATTTACTCGCTTACAGTATGTAGGTCCGATTTCTAGTTTCTGAGATAATTTTCAATTAAATCTTCAAATTTTTCCAATAGATCTGTCTGCTCAATTTAATTTACTATCCACAATAAATGTGCAAAGCGCGCCGAAAGAAGTTTTAACTTCAAAAAAATTAACTCACTCCCCATAAAATTTGAGGTCGTATAGTCCGAAAATCGAATATAAAAATATCCGTCCGTCGGACGCCGTCCTCAGCTTTTCACCGATACTACTGGACCGATTGTTTTGAAATTCGTTATCAATGTTTAAAGGCACCTGAAGATGATCCTACGAACTCGGTATTACCTTCCGCCTTTTCCTTTCAAGATGGCGGTCGAAAAACTTGTGTCGCTATAGATTGTAACGCATAAACTAATGTACCGATTTCGATGAAACTTGGTTGAAGTCTCCTGTTTCGAAGCCCTTTAAATGTATCTATAACATACTTCACAGAAAACAAGTTGGAAGAAAAGGGTGGTAAAATTAGATTTTGAATAACTCAAAAAGTATACACTTTTTTATTATTATTATTACAATCAGGGCATTGTTAAAAAACTTGGGTTTTTTCTTAACTTTTTAAAAGTGTCAGATGTCCGTATTTGATAGGAAACCACTGATATAATTATTATATATTTAAAATACTCGTTGATTATTAATATTAACAATCTGGGTTCATAAGTTAAAAACTTTCAATCATACATTTTTTACTTTCACTTACCTATATATGTAATATATAGTAAGGGAAAGTATTGCGATCGTGAAAATTTTCGAATCTGAGTTTTAAACGGAGTACACGTTTTGAGGTCCCCTGAGTCCAAAATGGTCTGTGTGTCTGTTATCAGTCTAGCTCAAAAACGAAAAGTCGTACGAAAGTGAAATTGCATATTTAAGGTTTGTATATATCTCAGATGTTACAGAATCTTTTTTGTCAAAACCGGCAAACCGGAAGTGGCACTTTATATAATCGATGTAACACATTTTTACGATTTTCTGGAATACGGCTCTAACGATTTTCATTAAACTCAGTATATCAGTGTATTATAAGTTGTTTTTAATATCAGCTAGGTCTTATCCACATTGATGTCGCTTTACAGGGCTTAAATGCCCAATGTTCATATAAGTCTTCCTCTAAAGTACCATTAATTTAGTTTATTTTTAATAAATAAATATCTCTCATTGTTTGGAATTATGAAAAAAGGCTAAATATAACTTTTGAATTTGATATTTGAATAAAGGAGAAAAAAGGAAAATGCTTATCCAGGTCGAAAATGAAACTCGGGAAGTAATAGACAGAAGGTATACGTTCAATATATCGTTGGAAATCGGAGAATTTAAGAAAAAAATAATATCTAATAAATAAAATTGTAGAAGGTAACGGAGAGTAACCGGAAAAATATAAATAATAATTTATGAAAACTAATATGACTTAACGTATATTGCACGCATGTTTTCAAGGAAATTAAATGAAATTTTCTTACTAAATCTAAACTTTTAATTGTTTTTTATAGTTTGAAAAAAATTATTTAAAATTCACTGTATCAAGGTAATGGCATTATTTAAAATATTATTTCATTGTACTTGTGTGAAAGAAGAAGTGACATATAAAAATATTTCATGGTTCGTGTAAAACATATTCTTTCAACCTTAAATACATTTAATTCAGTTTAATAACTCTAGATCCGATATTATATTTTAATAAGTAGGTATCTATCGTCCGTTTATTCCGAAAAATCATCAAGTAACCTTTTAGAAAATTAAATTAGTGAATAATTTGATGATTTGTGATATCCCATCAGTATTCTCTTACAATTAGTGTGATAACTTTTGACATTTCTGACAGGCAATGAAAATCTTGTAATTCAATTTAAGTAAACTTTAGAATGGAAAATAACTAATTGTCGTACAATCCATAATGGACGGATCGTACAATCCATGATCAACCGTTAATAAAATAAACAGTATTTTTGTAATTTTAATGATATTAATCATTTGTTAGATGTAAGCTTTAAAGTTTAGCTCGGTTAAAAATACACTTCAAAATTTTTATAATAGCTCAACATTGCCAGAAAATAATTTATATTCAAAGTAGAGCGGTAAGAGAAAGTTGTGTGTTGCGCGCACCAGTTCTTTTTTTTATTCATGTTGCCATCTCTCCAGACTAGTTTTAATGGGAACGTCTGGTCGTACAAGAGAAATTGCAAGACGAAACATGTGTTGAAAACTGGTTTTAAGCTAACATGCTTAGAGTGAATGATTTTAGCAAAATAAGATCACATCATAAAAGGACTATTTCTGTAGCATTTTAATTTGGAGTTGTGATTTTTTTCGGGGGAGGGAGAGAGAGGGTATTCATCTGTATTAACGACTTAGTTTTTTTCTACACTTAAATTTCTTATTATGCCATTACACGGTGCATCTTGAAAAGAATTGGAAGATAAAATCAGTAATAGTTCATTTCATAGTGATTGTAATGTCTAGACTTGGTTTTAAATGAGTCAATTCTCGATTTCATTTAAATTTCCTCGTCCTTAAAGCAAATAAAAAATTCATATTTCTAAATCTTTCGTGATTGAGGAATAAGCAAAACGAATTTCTAATCCATTTTTTTTAGGAATTACTCGAGCAAACCGAAATCGATCGTGACTTCGATAATTAGATTTGTTTTTTCCCTTTTTTTATTCGATTCTCATTCAACACTTAGATTTTGAATATATTCTTAGTTGTTTGAAAATCTGTCCTTGTTTCAACTTATGTAAAGTATTTTGATAAGACGTTGAGCTATCAGTTCTCCAATACTTACTGTGAGAGGTCACAATCAGTAGGTCACAGATTTCAACCAAATTTTTTTGGTAAATCTACATCAAAAATATTGGACGCGTGTCCCAGTATTGGTTCCAATGGGCCTTAGGAGCAAAAAAAAAACAACAAAAAAAAACATAATTTCAAAAGTCTTATTTATATATTTTTTGTCTTTGTTCGGATTTATAGGATATCATACACCATAGGACCATTTTGTTACTTTCACTTATCTATATATGAAACATATGGTGAGGGACAATATTGCGTTCGTAAATATTTTCGACTCCGAGTTTTCAACGGAAATACATTTCTTACTAAATGTAAACTTGAATTTTTTTTTTAATTTTGAAAAACTATTTAAAATCAACGATTCACGACAATGACATTATTCAAGATACTATTTCATTGTACTTGTGCGAAAGAAGAAGTGAAATATAAAAATATTTCATTGATATGTTTATGACCTTAAATATATTTACTGTAGTTTAATAACTCTAGATCTCATATTATATTTAAATCATTTTTTTTTTTTTATTTTTTTTTTATTTAGACATACAATATTCTGTCACAGGGACAATAATTATATTGATAAATGAACACATTCACACCGTATATACAAAAAATAAAATAAAATTAACAAAGTAAAACAATAACAAAATAATAATAAATAAAAACTATATACAATATAAAATAACCTAAATATAAGTAAATTAAAAACGTTTATGTCAAAATAAATATTATCATTTATTTTGCCTACTGATCATCCCAACTATTCTTCCCTTCATAATTTTTTTTATTAATTTTAAAGATTAGGTTAAAAATAACTGATGCAGATAAG